GCGCTTCGCCACCTTAACAAAGACTACTGAGAGGCATGACGGAGCCCACCATGGCCTGCGAACCTTTTGGTCCCCTTTTAGGCAAGCCACTAAATAATACGTTTTGTGTCAGCAATAGTATTTTCTAACCCAAAATACATTATGGAATAAAAGAACAGCTACTGATTAAGGGGTACAAAAGTATTCCAAAAAATAATTCTCTTTAAGTCCCAAAATTTGAGACTAGAATGTACAGGCAAAATATGAAGTTAAATGAGCTTATTAATGTGGTTGACGGACATTAACAGTTGTTTCTTGGAAGACAAATATTAGTAATAGGCACCGTCCTTCCTTAAAAGAAACATCTTAGAAATATAAAGCAGATACACTCCCCTGTTACATAATCCAACTCTCATTTCACCGGGGCAAACTTCTCATTTATTGTTTGTCTTTTGTTCCATTGATATTCTGATAGGGAGAGAGATTTGATAAATAATCACAACTCCGAGGAATGTTACAAAGGGAATTCCCTTAGATAATTAAAATACTGGTTCCAAGCCATCAATTGATAAACTTGCTTTGATAAAATCCAAGGTTCTAGAAATTCATTTCAGACATTAGAACATTCTCATTCCCTCCATTTGTTTCTTTAAACTCTTTATCAATAAAACAGAAAACTTATGACGTATCAAAGACGATCATAGAGGACATGTTGACAGCCCTTCTTTCGAGTCTAACTTTCTAATTTCAAACACAACGATGAAGAAGAAATATTTTCCGAGAGGTCTTCATCACAATCAATACAGCGAATCAAAGAATAAGGAAGAGGACTATCATTCTCCATGATGCATGAATCATGACACACAGTACATATGACAAAGGAAGAACATAAACCGACTTCAAAAGCAGTAGTTTATATACAGCAAGAACATAGTTTTCCAAAATCATTCTGTTAGAGAGAACCCAAAAGTTATTTATTCCCTATAAAGTATGAACCCTTTTTGCCTGAAGAAAGCATTAATAATTTCATAATACAACAATTCAAACACAAGCTTCATGGTGCTAATGAATATAATAAATGGAAATAAATCAAATGTTTTTTTTCCCCAAACACAATATTAACTTCATAATAAAAGTAATAATTGGCCAAACATTTTGCACAAAAAAGGAGAAAGATAAAGAGTTAGAACCTTTTATTCGTCTGAGTTCCTTACAGAGTGTGATGAAGTCTCCCCACTTCATATGGCACCGTCGTATAAACCGAAGAATCTGTTCGGTAGTGAACATGGACATGCCCTCCAGGTATTCTCCATTGACACCATTTTCTTTAAAAATCTGGCGATAACCGCCAAGATTTATCTCTTCCAACCATAAACCAACATCCTGAAAGTAAAGAAAAAGGTAGACAGAAGGCAGGGCATTAAACCTAATATCCATCTATAAATCATACATGCCCTAAAAAAAATGGTAATAACATAAAACAGGTAGTCCAATAGTCACTTTCTGTAAGTCTGACCTTTCAATTACAGGTGGCTAACTTATGCTTATTGTTATATTTTTGGTATTTGGTTTACACAAAATGCTTGGTACTCAGAGAACTCGCAAACAAGTATAAGACATATCTGTCCAGCTTTATCATAGATAATACAGAAAGTTTGCACAGAAAGCTCCAATCAAACAGCCTATCTTGTTTAGAAGAAAACACTCCACGTATCCTTATAACCAGCAGAGAGCAAAAAGCATGATATCCCCCTTTCTCAAGATCTAAAGCAAACAGAAAATCCTTGCAGTTGATAAGACAAGCCTCAATATGCAACCACAACATCTATATAACATATGCAATGCTCGCTCGCTTTCTCTCAAAATTGATTCATTTCGCTACACAAACTTTGCAAGTACTGCCCAGAGGAAAGTAATTCCACTTTTGCAAGTACTGCCCAGAGGAAAGTAATTCCACTATCTTTCTTTCCATGTACCAACCAATACAATAGTTAAAGACAAGGATTGAAAATGGACATAAATGAAATTTGAAACAAGCACTGCACAGCCTCACACATACACAAAACTTCTGCACTGAAACATTGTAGTTAAGCTCTTCCCTCAAAAGATTTCTTGATGATCCTCATCACCAAAGATCAGACCAACTTTAGCATGGAAAATTTATCAAAAAATATTTCATATAGGAAGTAAACAAGAGTTTGAAGTCCATGCCATTGGATTTCAAATACTATAGCTACAGAGACACAAATCATTACTGTCTCAAAAAAAAAATAAAATAAATAAATAATCATTCCCAATATAAAAAGCTGTCCTACTGTTAAACTCGACCATCATCAAATAATAGATTCAAAATTGCCCCAAAAATAAAATAACACAACAACCCTTGATCCCATATTGAAACCACAGTCAAATCATCAATTCAGCAATTGAATTTAAGAATAATCTCAACACCAAAAGATAATCGCAACAAGTAAGATAGAAATAAGTAAAAAGGTGTATTATAATTGTAGGAAACGATTCAATAGAATCAATCGAGATCCAATTAATGATAACAAAACAAGAAAGGGAAAGAAAGAAGAAACGAAACGAAGTACCTCGACAGTCCATATAAAGAAATCAAGAGGCTCAGGAGGCCGATCTTTGCTCATTCTTTTAACACCAATCAATCAATAAAAATTCCCCTGAAATTCACAACCAAATATAAAAACAAAAACCAAAAAAACAAAAAGGAAAAAAAAACTCAAGAAAAGGAAATGAAATTAGGTATATAAAAATTAAAATTGAGACTTACAGATCCCAAATCCCAAAAATCAAATAAAATTAATTTAATAATTTCAAGAAAAGCAAAAAGAGTGAGAGTGACAGAGTGAGAGAAAAAAAAGAAAGGATATGTAATAATATATATAATATTAAAAAAGGAAAAAAAAAAAAAAGGTAAGTTACCGTATGAAGAGGAGTAGAAATGGAGAGTGTTGAATTTCTACATTTGCTTTGTTCTGCTTTGCGTTTTGCGTTTGTCGACACTTTGAATTATGAGAACCCCTCAGTTACAATAAATGTGGTGATGTGGAAGTGAGGTGAGGTGGGGGGCTTTTTATTTTATATTTTATTTATATTTATTCCTTTGTGATATTAAATATTGGTGTGAGTTTTTAAGAAGAGCAATGTTACGTAGTACAATAAATAAATACAATTACGTATCATATCATTCATGGTTTTTAAATAAAATTTTAGAAACAATTTATATACATATATTTAGCCATAATAGTATAAATCATGGTCAAATGTGTGATAAATAACTTGAAAAATGTGGAATAAATTATTATGGAGGGGATCATGTGAACTTATTTAAAATAAAAAATAAAAAAGGTTGAAAGTTGAAACAGGTTACAAAGTCAACAAAACTACATTTGCCACGAACCAAAAAGTACCAATACATTAATCTTGTACTCTGAAAATACCTACTTTTTATGGCGTTAATTTAAATTATAGAACAACATTAACTGAAAAATTAATAAACAGAAACTTTTTTTTATAAATCAACCACGAAAAAATTCAAGACCGACCGGTTCAGGCCCGTTCGTGGGCCAAGTAGAAGATGATGATGTAATAAAAGTGGGGACCATCAGATCTTTAAGATAAACTCTCAACATTGAGATGATAGAATTGATGAAAAAGTCGGGAGAATGGAGGGTGAAGATGTGATTATGATTTATGAGACATTTACTTAATGCCGACCATGCACCATGCATGTGCAGCAGCATGTGTAGTAGTAGCGACTCTTGCGTTGCGTTATATTTTTATGAATGTTTGGAGTTGGACCACTTTCTTATTGTTGACTTCACTGTGTCTCTCATTCTAACTTACTAATTAAAAACACCCATTTCTCAGGTAATAAGGGGATTAGAGGTTATTGGTTAAGGGATTATTGAATTTGTGGTTGGAGTGCAAGTATCCATTTGTTAATTATTGCAAATTCAAGGATGGAGATGGACAACCCACATGGAAGACAAAGACAGCATGATTTGATTAGGTGTGTCTTTCTTTTGTTACTAAACTAAGAACAGTGGAGGTTTAAAGTGTTAAAAGTGATATAAAACCTGCACAATGAATGATCCTTTTTTTTCAGTTAATCAGGTAGAGGTCGGCTAATAAGGATGTCAACCTAGCAACAGAATAAAACAAGCTATTAGGTATGGATGCCTGACTCTTCAATTATTATTATCATTTCGCTACATGTCAACAAAATTTAAAAGGAAATCAAATCAAATAAAAATATTAAATACACAAATAATGAAATAACAACCCAAAAATGTCTAAGTTCAATTCATTTGTCAGGAAGCAACCTGTTTTGAGTAGATGAAAGGGGACATCCAATCCAAGAGGTAAAGGTTGGAAAAGGCGGTCATGGATTCTAGTAAAAAGTAACATAAAATTAAAGAAATATGGTCCAACAATTACATATATCCAAACTCAAATATATTCTAATTCTACCACTATTTTCGGGACCTCCTAATTATTAGATTCCGAGTTCCAAGCATCTCCTCACGGCCAACTCACACTAGTACAACCACCTACAGACATATTGCTTCATATCATCACTTAACATATCCACCTATAAATCACTTGTTCTAACGGGAATAACCCCGTGGGTCCCCCATCACAAATATCATTCTAAACACCTCTTCCAATCACAAATATCTCACTTCTATCTGAAGCATACTATGGATATATGTACAATATCAGAAATTTGGGTGTTTAACTTCACCATGCCACTCTCCCAACCCTCCAAAAGGAAGAGACATTATCGTTATAAGAAACAGCATCTTTTCTACAAGTTGAACAAGCATAATTCAGCTTTAGTGGAAAACATACTTATAGCATTTATGATTAGGCAAATCCAATTCCAGATCACATGGTGTAGGGTACTAACTGTGTTTTCAAAAATATTTATGGATGAGTTTATCTATAAAAATCATTCCTCAATGTATAAATGGAATCAATGCCATGATGTACTGCACTGGATTTATGAACATATTATAACCAAACCAGAACCACAAGGTGGTTCATTCATGCTGTGGAAACTCCCAAACATTGCATAATCTTGTGGAATGCTAATATCAGTTAGTGACAAGCTTGACAATTTGGAATCAAATTCATAAGTTACATGATAATTACAAAGCAACAACAGCTCCTTTTGTATGTGACTCAGTCAAAAGCCAGATAAACAATGCACAAAGGTGGTTACCAATATTTTGAATCAATGCTCCAAAATTGTTTGCGTGCTGAAAAAAGGAACTACCCATAACTTCACACAAAATCAACCAAGGAATTTAACAATGTAGGATCTAATCTGTTATTTGCACAAAAATATACCTACTCAGATATTTTGATAATCCTCTCCAAGGAAAATGAACTCAGAAATTTTAACTCTCAAAAAATCACAAATGATACCTCCAAATCTCTTCTTTTGATAATTCTTCTGTGGAGTCATTTGAATTCCTTTTTTAGAGGACTGCCATCCTAATCAAGGCTTGATCTGAATAAGCAATGTCCAGGCCATTGAACCTTGACGTGGCAACCTCAGAGTCACTCTATCCCAAATCAAATCATTGTGGCTTCCCCGATAACATTGAGCTTGAAAGGAAATGAACAAGAGAAATATGGTTGACACGAACTGCCTTCAACAATCAACAAACTTCAGAATCCGGTGCTGGAAGATGTACTGCCTGACCTAAGAGTGCCTGCGGGTCGTCCATTACTGGTTTTGCTAATGACCCCCTTCCCAAAATACTCAGCAATCACAGAAAACCCATCCTTCGAGCTCTTTACTTGCTGGAAAAACCGATCTTGATCTTTGGAATTCTGCTCCAAGCTTCTCTTCATTTCCATAACAGATCTGTACTCTGGAGCACATTCTGGACATTCTTTTTCATTGTCACCAAGGCACCGCTGATGGAATGAGTGCATACACATAAAGTGCACAGCAGGAAGATCAAGGGTGAAAGTGCATGCAGTGCACTTGCTGAGCTGAAAGATTCTAGCATTTGTCCTAAGATCCTGAATTTCTTTTCTCATTGCCGAAGTATCTTCCTGCGCAATTTAAGGGCTCAATTAAATATCATTAATACACTCAATAAGTAATCAGATGTAACTAGTGAATCTGAAAGTGATTTTTTATCATGGAAAGTTTCAATAAAATCCATTGTCATTACTGATTGTCAAACCAATTCACATCATGAGGATATTGTCCAGCTTTAGAATTACTAAAGTAAGATTGAAAATGTTCAAATTCTTCTTATTTGTAGTAAGGCCATTGTTCAAGTCTTTTCAGATTTATATATTCATAAAAGGATTAGACTTCGTTTTAACACTTGCGTAAACATGTAAATACTTGGTTTCTCTTGAAGGCTGATACAGTCTCAAAGCAACATATGGCTACCCCATCAAGACCGAGAAACTTAATCTGGCCAAGCAATACTTTTTTTTTTTCCATATACCTTTTTCTGGAATTTGAGTTTATTTAAGCACACATGTCCCCCTACTTGATTAGCATGTTTGAAGTGAATACATGAAGTAGTGTAACCAGACCCTTCGGAATAGCTCTCCCAAGAAAAGAACTTGAATAAATTGCCACCTTCAATGAGATCCAGTGTTGGACAAAATGACAGAATTGGTGTATAAAAATAAATTAAATAATGAAACAATGCACAACAGGTAAGCACCAACCTGGTACTTCTCAATAGCTCGCCGGTCATCTTCAATTAACTTAGATTCCTGTTCAAGCTTACGAGCAATATAATCCTTTATGACAGAGAGTGTGAGACATGGATTCCTGGACAGCGTCTGGAGAACAATAATAGGAGGCAAGATGTCATCCCTTTCAATATACGTCAAAACTTCCTTTACTTCATTGGAGCAATCTTCTCCAAGTTCACCAAAATACTTCAGCAGATCTGCCCAAAGAGATGGATCTCCTCCTTTACCTGAATCTCCCAGCCTTTTGCAGCAAGCAATCAAACCGTCATGATCATGGGCCTGCATGTAGCAAGCAATTACCTCTTTATAAAGTTTCATCTTCTCATACAAATACAAAAGCCCTTCTTTAAATGCATTCATTTCACAAAGAATTATGGCCAGATCAACATCATAAAGTGGATGTTCCAGGTCAGACGGCCATGCATTCTTAAGTAACTGTAGCCCCTTCTCACACCTTTCCAGGCGGTCCTTCTCCTTATATATGTCTTTACGATCAGCAGTTAATTTTCCATTGGACTCAGCTTTTGATGCCACAGATGGTCCTGATCTTGTTTCAAGACTAAGATCTACCCCATTGCTGACTTGTGAGATTGATGGAAAGTTCAAGTCATTGGACAGGTACAGCTCCAAGAGAGTGTTATGAATTTCTACTTGAGCAGGTGAGTCTTTCACCTTGTTGGTATATTTTTCAAGAAAATCCATAAGGGACAGTGGATTATGGACAAAAATGTTAAGAAAATCAACAGGAGAGGGCAACATAGATATGTATGTGCTGCTTGAAGTTCCTCTTTTAGTAGATTCTCCATCCTCAGTACAAAGGGTCATGAGTATGTCAATTGTCTCCACTGGCTTGTGCTCTATGAGAATTTTACCATACTCTTTCACGGTCACCCCAGCTTGACTAGGTTCAAGGCTTGTGATATATTGCAACGCTTCATCATATCTACCAAGGTCCTCAAGTAAAATCTTCAAGTACAACTCATGCCTCCCTGCCTTCTTAGCAACATACATGGCATGCTCATGGTAATTGGCAGCACGACAGACCCTTATAGCAGTCTCAACATCAAACTTATGTTCCCCAACACCATCCTCACTTTTAATGAATAAATTCAACTTTTCAACATCTTTCAATTTGGTGTAGCAGTTTAACAAAAGAGTTGTATGATCTTTAGAAGCAAGCCCCTTTTCATGCAACTTTTCCAAGTAATTTGTAAGGTTATAGATTCTCTGTGCATCAAGAAACTTCTGTATTACATATGAAGGTTCAAGGTGACCAATGGTGTTAATGTACTGCGCCATGGCCTCATCATAATCCTGTTTGCTATAAAGATGATCCCCATACTTCCTTAACACTTCTGAAGTTGCAGCAGGATCAGCCTGCTGACTTTGAACAAGATTGATAGCAACTGTATAAAGGTTTTTCTTAAAGAGCATATCTAATTTGCTTTCCATATCCTTCTCTCCAATACACAAAACTGATTTGTCTGCCAATATAAGTATTATATTGCCCCACTCACATAGCATGTGAGAAACCTTTTTAACCACTAGACTGTGGGCTATTAAACGATTCTTCAGGTCATAAACATTGAAAATATTCTTGTCATTTCTTTGATCTGCAATGACACATAAAAGGTATCCACGAAACCATCCTAAAAACCTTTTCTCCCCTTCAAAAGCCCAACAAGGACCACGCCCATCAACATCATAAAAATACACAGCCTCAGGTCGACCAATTATCAACTCCTGATGACAAGACAACACAGAAAGTCAATCAGCTTTCAAAACCGTATAAATAAACAATTTTCTTTGCAACAGAATAATGCCAAAATGAAGGGCATCGAGAACTGCATACCGAGCGATCACTCATTGCAACACTATTGGCACTGCTTCCAGTCTGATCCAGGACTTGCCTCCTAGGTGGCTGGTTCTGCAAGCTGAACAAGCACACTGAATTTGGAGTCACAGAAAATAATTGAAGAGCTTGACCATCCACTCTGAACCCTAATCCCTTGATAGAGCATTGACTCTCATTCTGATTATCCACCTGAAGTTTGAAACGGGTAATACGTTCCCTCGCAATATCTCCTTTGATGCAGTAAATAAAACCATTATCTAAACCAATAGCTATAAGAAGTATCGGTGGAGCTTCTTCTAGTACTAGAAATGAAGTTATCTGCATCATATCATCATTATCATGATTTCCAAAATTTCATCAAATAAAATAAACACGATCACAATGCACAATGTTGGCTATTCACATCTTAATTCAGCTAAACAAATTTAGTAAATAACCAAACACTGCACTACCTTAGCTTCAGGAAACTGAATAGTAAATATTCGCAAAATTCCAATACAATCAGGACTTGTCGAGCTAGTTCCCTCTGGTTCCATTTTATCGAGGTCAAAAACCTTGAGACAGGTAGCCGATTGTTGTGGCGATACTTGTTCATCTTCTCCAACAGTTACCAGAAAGTTCCTTTGCTGCTCATAGAAAAAGAAAAATGCATCAGTTTCAACTTTCAAGCATCATGTATTACTAAAACAATTTGTTTATAATCAAGCATTATATATTACAACAATGACTTGTATACAATCAGACTACAAATTCAACTTCCTTTCCTTTATTTTAATTCATTTTCTCGAAAAACAAGCAGACCAAAACCTCTACGAAAAAAAATATATAATAATAAAGAAAAGCACAAAATAAGAGGACACGTGCACCTTGAGCTGCTGGAGGTAGAGGACAGAAGAAGAATGAGCTTGAAAGCCGAAATTGAACTTGAGGCCACGATCGAGGAGGCTCACGGAACCGTCGTCGCAGCCGATCACTACCTTGCCTCTGCCACTTGAGCAGCACGTGATCTTTCCCGTAACTTCCTCCGGAATCGTGCTCTTACCTCCGTATTTTTCCTCGAAGAATTCGAACTTCCTCCACTGGTACATATTGCTTTTTTCGTTGNAATGGACCTCCAAGCATTGCTTTTTCACACGCTAAATGGAACAGTATATCAAATACAAAACGTTTTGATGTTTATATATCCTTAAATTGTTACTAATTGACATCAAAATCATTGGGTACCATATGATTTATTACCAAGTGATGGTAGAGGTATGGTTGAATACTATGTAGCATTAAAAATGGTTAGATGAGCACCATGATATCAAGGCTGTGCGTTAGTTGCAACAATATGTGGAGAGAATTAGTTTGGTTGGGACATAATGATCAGACACTCAACCTAGCTAGTATCAAATACACTCTTTTAAAATTGCGTATAGAATATAAGAATATGACTATATATAAAATGTTAAAAAATCTACATGGAGAACTATATGCGAATCAATGCTCATTCAAACTGACAACAACCCAAAATTTAACAAACATAAAGCGCCATGTATGCTAAAACAACTTGGGATGGTAAGTAGGAAACTTGTCTCACAGCCAGTAACATTTCTAAAGGCTAACCTCATGGCCAGATTCTTCAGTTCAGTGGGACTGAAAAAAAGGAGAGCATTGCGTGGCTAATAAAACGCCAAATTCCAGCCGTCAGACGTCAGCTTCAACAAAGATTGCAAGAGCAAATCAGCGGCTGAGGTTGAGTAGAGGATGGATAAGATTGGTGTGAGGATAAGCAAGCAAAAAATATCCACTCCTTTACTTTTCAATAGCTCTTACTACGCACCGTTTCACCTTTGTTTTTTAGTGCGTAGTTGTGCACCACATGCTACTTGGAAAGCTAGTCCAATGCACGTGAAAGCAGCTATCAATACCCCCCCACCCCCTCCCATCACACACTCTCAAGTCTCAATTGTATTGTTTTCTGTTGAAAACAGTATATATATTACTTAAAATGGTATATGTTGATTTCGAGTCATAAAGGTGAAAAAGTAATGACCTAGTATTGCAGTGAGGATGGGGTCAAAATGTTCAATGATATTAGCCTATGGTGAACCCACAAGGAAACACCCTTTGAATCATACTTCATACAAATCTCTGCACCTCGTATTTGTACACGTTGTTATATATAAGACCCACATGAATATGTCATAAGGTATTATTTGTGGTATAGTTGCTCTTATCAAAATCATTGCTTTTCAGTCTATATACTTTTAACATTTAATAATTTATAAATTAAATAATTTAAACTTTTTTACCATCTTAATATATTCAAATTTATAACTCCATTTTACTTGTTTGAATTATCTGGTGTCGTTTTCATCGAAGATTTTTCTTTATTAGTATTCTTTTAATCCATCATAATAGTTGTTTTGCCATAGATGTTAATGAGGGCCGAATTGGATAATATATAAATTAAACGGGTTGTTCAGCAATCACTTTTATTATGTAATTATTTCTTTAATTTAACATCAATTGTCATGTCATACACTTCATAAACATAACATGACAGTCATGATTAATGACTTTATTATATCAATCTCAAGAATTGGATTAGAACAAAATAATACATAACAAAACCATGCAACGTCAGATTCTTTATATTTAATTAAGTTGGGTGATTATGACAATGGTGTCCTAATCAAAGTCCTAATTAAGAAACTTTATTTTAATTGAACTCGTTATAGCCAAAGGTCGGGGCACTCTCCTTGCACATTTGCCCTACATGTGTCTCACAATAAAATATTTCTCTTATAATTATTCATTTATGTATGCGACTCCGGCTTCCCATTTTTTAAGCAACGTTTAAGACACGAAATATCCTCGTCTCGGATTTGTCAACCAATAACGAGGCCTTACTTGTAAAACTAAATTCTAAAAGCCTCCAATTCATTTAAATTAATTAATATATTAATTTAACATTATCCTCTATGTTAATTGTTGTTAGACTTGCATTAATCAACTCTTGTAACAACAACGAGTTTTGAAGTTTGGGAAGGTTTATAAATTCCTCGACCAGACCCTTCGGATAGCTCTCCCAAGAAAAGAACTTGAATAAATTGCCACCTTCAATGAGATCCAGTGTTGGACAAAATGACAGAATTGGTGTATAAAATAAATTAAATAATGAAACAATGCACAACAGGTAGCACCAACTGGTACTTCCAATAGCTCGCCGGTCATCTAATTAACTTAGATTCCTGTTCAAGCTTACGAGCAATATAATCCTTTATGACAGAGAGTGTGAGAATGGATTCTGGACAGGTCTGGAGAACAATAATAGGAGGCAAGATGTCATCCTTTCAATATACGTCAAAACTTCCTTACTTCATGGAGCAATCTTCTCCAAGTTCACCAAAATACTTCAGCAGATCTGCCAAAGAGATGGATCCTCCTTTACCTGAATTCCAGCCTTAGCAAGCAAGCAAAACCGTCATGATCATGGGCCTGCATGTAGCAAGCAATTACCTCTTTATAAAGTTTCATCTTCTCTACAAATACAAACGCCTTCTTTAAATGCATTCATTTCACAAAGAATTATGGCCAGATCAACATCATAAAGTGGATGTTCCAGGTCAGACGGCCATGCATCTTAAGTAACTTTAGCCCCTTCTCACCCTTTCCAGGCGGTCCTTCTCCATATGTCTTAGATCAGCAGTTAATTTCCATTGGACTCAGCTTTGATCCACAGATGGTCTGATCTTGTTCAGACTAAGATCTACCCATTGTGAATGTGAGATTGATGGAAAGTTCAAGTCATGGACAGGTACAGCTCCAAGAGAGTGTTATGAATTTCTACTTGGCAGGTGAGTCTTTCACCTTGTTGGATATTTTTCAAGAAAATCCATAAGGGACAGTGGATTATGGACAAAAATGTTAGAAAATCAACAGGAGGGCAACATAGATATGTATGTGCTGCTTGAAGTTCCTCTTTTAGTAGATTCTCCATCCTCAGTACAAAGGGTCATGAGTATGTCAATTGTCTCCACTGGCTTGTGCTCTATGAGAATTTTACCATCTTCACGTCACCCAGCTTGACTAGGTTCAAGGCTTGTGATATATTGCAACGCTTCATCATATCTACCAAGGTCCTCAAGTAAAATCTTCAAGTAACTCATGCCTCCTGCCTTCTTAGCAACATACATGGCATGCTCATGGTAATTGGCAGCACGACAGACCCTTATAGCAGTCTCAACATCAAACTTAGTTCCCCAACACCATCCTCACTTTAATGAATAAATTCAACTTTCAACATCTTTCAATTTGGTGTAGCAGTTTAACAAAAGAGTGTATGATCTTTAGAAGCAAGCCCCTTTTCATGCAACTTTCCAAGTAATTTGTAAGGTTATAGATTCTCTGTGCATCAAGAAACTTCTGTATTACATATGAAGGTTCAAGGTGACCAAGGTGTTAATGTACTGCGCCATGGCCTCATCATATCCGTTTTGCTATAAAGATGATCCCCATACTTCCTTAACACTTCTGAAGTTGCAGCAGGATCAGCCTGCTGACTTTGAACAAGATTGATAGCAACTGGATAAAGGTTTCTTAAAGAGCATATCTAATTTGCTTTCCATATCCTTCTCTCCAATACACAAAACTGATTTGTCTGCAATATAAGTATTATATTGCCCCACTCACATAGCATGTGAGAAACCTCTTTAACCACTAGACTGTGGGCTATTAAACATTCTTCAGGTCATAAACATTGAAAATATTTTGTCATTTCTTTGATCTGCAATGACACACTAAAAGGTATCCACGAAACCATCCTAAAAACCTTTTCTCTCCTTCAAAGGCCCAACAAGGACCACGCCCATCAACATCATAAAAATACACAGCTCAGGTCGACCAATTATCAACTCCTGATGACAAGACAACACAGAAAGTCAATCAGCTTTCAAAACCGTAAATAAACAATTTTCTTTGCAACAGAATAATGCCAAAATGAAGGGCATCGAGAACTGCATACCGAGCGATCACTCATTGCAACACTATTGGCACGCTTCCAGTCTGATCAGGACTTGCCTCCTAGGTGGCTGGTTCTGCAAGTGAACAAGCACACTGAATTTGAGTCACAGAAAATAATTGAAGGCTTGACCATCCACTCGAACCCTAATCCCTTGATAGAGAATGACTCTCATTCTGATATCCACCTGAAGTGAAACGGGTAATCGTTCCCTCGCAATATCTCCTTTGATGCAGTAAATAAAACCATTATCTAAACCAATAGCTATAAGAAGTATCGGTGGAGCTTCTTCTAGTACTAGAAATGAGTATCTGCATCATATCATCATATCATGATTTCCAAAATTTCATCAAATAAAATAAACACGATCACAATGCACAATGTTGGCATTCACATCTTAATTCAGCTAAACAAATTTAGTAATAATCAAAACACTGCACTACCTTAGCTTCAGGAAACTGAATAGTAAAATTCGCAAAATTCCAATACAATCAGGACTTGTCGAGCTAGTTCCCCTGTTCCATTTTATCGAGGTCAAAAACCTTGAGACAGGTAGCCGATTGTGTGGCGATACTTGTCATCTTCTCCAACAGTTACCAAAAGTTCCTTTGCTGCTCATAGAAAAAGAAAAATGCATATAGTTCAACTTCAAGCATCATTATTACTAAAACAATTTGTTTATAATCAAGCATTATAATTACAAACATGACTTGTAACAACAGACTACAAATTCAACTTCCTTTCCTTATTTTAATTCATTTTCTCGAAAAACAAGCAGACCAAACCTCTACGAAAAAAAAAATATAATAATAAAGAAAAGCACAAAATAAGAGGAAACGTGCACTTGAGCTGCGGAGGTAGAGGACAGAAAGAATGAGCTGAAAGCCGAAATTGAACTTGAGGCCACGATCGAGGAGGCTCACGGAACCGTCGTCGCAGCGATCACTACCTTGCCTCTGCCACTGAGCAGCAAGTGATCTTTCCCGTAATCCTCCGGAATCGTGCTCTTACTCCGTATTTTCCTCGAAGAATTCGAACTTCCTCCACTGGTACATATTGCTTTTCGTTGACCAAACGGCTCTGCTTTCGCTCAGTT